GAGATGTAATCACGCAGCGGAACAAGAGCGGATATTGAATGAAGACATAACTTGATTCTTCGAAGTATTCCTACATACAGTAAGTTAGTACTTGTATACCTCAATACTATACTCTTCACAAACGATCAAACGACACTCTCCCAAACAAGCATATTGATTGATACCTAAGCATTCACCCCAAACCATTCAACACATTCCACTCCCAAATTCACCAAACCCTCTTCATCCAAAAGTCATCTCTACTTTCCCTCCGTTTGCAATTCCAAATACGAAGTCCGTATCTAGAGTTCACTCCTTCCCAAAGCAGCCATCCAAGCGATAAGTAAGTTTTTTTTTTACGGAGTTGGGGGGGTCCCTAGGTAATCATGACTGAAAACGAACAGAAGGAATCCTACGCACGATAAGTATGTATGTATGTATATATGTATGTATATATGTACCTAGTATATAGTTTAATTCAATTATATACAGATACGTACGTACGAGAGATACTAACCACTTTGATAACTAACTGTAAAGATTATATACATTTACTCACTAGTACATACATACATACATACATACATACATACATACATATATATATACGTACTTCTTGGAAAGATGAATATTATATCCAAGTATTTATCTATCTGTTAATACACAACAACTTCATTTCATCCTCTTCTTCCAATTTGCTTCACATTAACGTTATATTAATTTCATGATTATATGAATCATCAAATGAAACAAAGCACAAAACAACCCCATCCATACATAACCATAACACCAAAAAAATGACCCCTTTACCATTACCTCTCCCATTCCCTCTCCCATTACCCCAAAGACACGCCCAAGCTTCACACCTCTCTCCATCTCCACTGCGTCATTTCAGCCTCAATCTGGTCTTAGCAAAAGATTCCATTCTGATCAATAGTTATCAACCACCATCACGTAAATCAAGACTAAGACGACTATCGTTGAATCTAGTGCGTCTACCGATTTTAGAGGAATTGGATGGGATGAGTACACTTTTGGGTGAGTTTCTTATAGTTCTTTTGGGGGGTGGTTTGGATCGAAGAGGATGAATGGATGAATGGATGAATATGATATGATATGATATGAATATCTTGAAAGGGAAAGAAATCATCGAGGAGAAAGGCGAGATTGATGATTGATTGATTGATTGTGGAATTCTTGGAATTGATTTGCTGATCATGGTTGGTTTTACCAAACGATTAGTCTCCAAGGCTAGAAAGGTATGTGTTTACTACTATGTTTCGTTTGCTTGGATGTGATTTGAAGATGGATAACGGGTTATGGATGGTGAATGGCAAATGGCAAATGGCAAATGCTAGATAAGGAGAGAGCGAGGAGAAATATATATATCAATTTGAAAGCTGTGCAGGTGGGCAGATGAAGATTCAATCGATGAGGAAAAGGAGAGGAAGATGAAAACGAAGATACAGAGCTACATCATTCATACACACATAAACTAACTATCATCTCTCCAGCCAAAATTCGATCTAGTCCTCAGAGTAAGTTCTCCTTCCATAGCCTCAAACACACTCACACCTCTTCATTCCCAACCCAAACTAACCTCCCCTCCTCAGTTAATAGATCTCAACAACGTCCCTCTAACCAGTGGAACCGCATACATAAAATGGCACATCTCTTCCTCTGTAGCCTCCGAACATTCAGGACAAACACCTCGTTCCCCTATCAAAGAACACAAAGTCCATTGGGATTACACTCGATCCATTCCCGTGCGTCTCACCATCGATAAATCCAACCATCTCTCGGAATGTCTGATCCATTTCGAAGTCATCCAAGATTATACTTCTGGGGCTACCTCGAAAGGAGAACGAGTCACTCTAGGACACATCACGTTGAATTTGGCGGAATATGTGGAAGAGAGTGAAGTTGAGGGAGAGGAGGGAGTCGTGAGGAGATATTTAATGCAGGATAGTAAGATTAACAGTACGGCGAAGATTGGGATTAGTATGCGACAAGTAGAAGGGGAGAGAAATTTCGTAGCGCCAATATTGAAGAGTGCGCCTGTTTTTGGAGGGATCGCGGGAATTATGAAGGGAGAGACGGTGGATAATGGTGATGATATTGGGAGTGAGTATACAATCTTTTCTCCAGCTTTCCACCGATTTCACAATGCGCGGATTGGATCCGAGGTACAACACTAATACTTTCATTAAGACATGCCACAACTTCAAAAATCCTCCGATAAATCCGATTTGCACGATATGTATCGACGCGCCCTCGCTGCCTCTTGGACTTGTTCCCCCGCCGAAATGCCCGCAGATGAATGTGTCGAAGATATATTCGCCGGAGGAGATGGCTGGAAACGCGATCCGGATTCTCATACATCTTCCACTTTCGATCACAGTGACTATCTGCGAGACACACCTCGAATAGTACATGATGATAGGGAATTGAGCGCAAGTGGGGGAAGCGGAGAGGATTTGAGAAGACATAGGAGAAGTCATAGTGATGCGAGTCAGAAGAGTAATCTCACCACCTCATCTTCTGTTCCTGGGGGAGGTGGAAAAATGGGAAGATCAGACGGGAGAGGCCATCGATATAAGAGAAGTACGGATACCACGCGAAGCGGAGTTTCATCAAGTGGAGGCAGGAGCGTGAGTGCACAATCGGGACTCTCGAGTATGGGGGATAGAGATGATGAGATTTCGATCATGGGGAGTGGAGAGAGGGGAAGACAGGGGAGGGGTTTGGGCCATATTCCGGGGAATCATCATGGATATGTGAGGCCGAGGGAAGTGGATGAGTTTGATATGAGAGAGGATTTGGTGGCGTGGAAATTACCAGGGGAGGTTTCTTAGACGGGTATGGTTATGGATATGGATATGGAGGGAAGGAGGGCTTGTGTATAGATAGATGGTGGATTGGACTGGGTTGTATATTGGATGGCGAAAAAGAATAGGCTGGCTTCTGTTTGGGCTTGCGTATACATGGAGTTTATGGGATTTCTGGCTGGGGCATAGCTAAGAAACATGGGAGAAGCATAACATCATGGATGGATGGGCGGATGGATAGGCGGATGAAAACTCAAGGAAAAAGATTAGTTGGTTTTATCATAGATTTTTAATTGCGTTAATTTATAAATTTCTGTTTTCTTCTCGTCTATGGTATCTTCCTGTTCATGTACCTCTGCTAAGCAGAAATTATGCATTGATCTTGATTGAGATATGTAAGTAGGTATCTCATATCAAACTCCTAAACGCCTCGCTTCGCTTCTTCTTCCTTTCTTCTCATCTATATCTTCCCGCTTACAACCTTTTTGTTTTTGAGATGTGTGGTGTGCAGTTATGCCATTTCTATATGCTAGATAGGGCATAGAATAAAGTGCAGAAGATATGTCTCCAGATTGGTATGATTGACTCTTGATAGAGTCTTTGACCCAATTGTGAAATAGGTTCTGTTTAACACCCATACTCATATCCGCATCCAAATCACATCCAAATCCACAGGTTTTGAGATCCTCTTCATCCAAAGAACCAAACTTTTGCCATGCACCTCTTATGCACCTCCCCCTCATCTACCATCAACGCTCGTCACATAACCGATCCTCCACCACTAAACCTCCCCACCCACCCCCTCCTCCCCCTCCAAAACCCTCCCCCTCAAAATCCTCACCTCCTCCACCGGTCTATCTTCCGCTCCCGTCTTCACAAGCCCCATTCTCTTCACCGTCCCCATCCCCCTCGTCACCCGTCCAAAAATCGTATGTTTCCCATCCAACCACGGCGTCGGCGCCAACGTGATAAAAAATTGCGATCCATTTGTATTCGGGCCCGAATTCGCCATCGACAATATTCCTGCGCCTGTGTGTTTTAGTACCGGGAGATTGGACCCCGCAGGAGGGGTAAGTTCGTCTTCGAATTTTTCCCCGTAGATCGAGGTTCCGCCCCGGCCGGTACCGGTGGGATCTCCGGTTTGGAGCATGAAGTTCGGGATTATGCGGTGGAAGATGATGGAGTCGTAGTAGCCCCGGCGGATGAGTGTCTCGAAGTTGGTGCAGGTTTTGGGGGCGTGGGAGGTGTAGAGTTCGAGGGTTATGGTGCCCTAGAGAGGAGGGAGTGTTAGGTGGGTGGGTTGAGGGATGATGTGTTGGCTCTTTAAGGGTTTTGGGGAAGTTGGGGAAGTTGGTTGGAGAAGATGGAGGCAAAAACTATGCTCAGAAATCTCTATTGCTCTCTGCCGTGTGAACGACGCTCCGCGGGCCCTCCAGATATTCGTTATATTATTGATTGGAAGTCGGAGACTATCAATAGCTACTTGCTAAATGAATAATGCTCTGCTGGCCATCTGCGGGTTTTAGGATTGGTGGGTGGGAAAATGATGGCAGATGTTATCTTTTTAAATTAACTACTCCCCATAGCCGTCTGCCATACGATTGACGCTCCGCTGGCCCTCCGGGGGCCACTGCCGTGGAGGCAGATTGTTGAGGGCAGGAAAGTAATTGGGAAATCTGTACATACCATTGTGGTTTCTAGGGCGATATTGACTGCCATTTTGTATGTTTGTATATTTATAATCAATCGAAGTGACCAATTGATAATATAGAAACTATGAAGTCCATTCAGAGTGAGGAGAGAGTATTATGTTCAATATTCGAGAAGGCTTCAATTTATTGTTTACTTTTTGCAAGGCTGAAAGAAAGTTTGTCGCCCATCAGCCTTGTCAGATCCCTGCTGTTTGTTTGTTCCTTTGGGAAGGACAACATCTACAACCAACTTCATTTTTTGGAGAAGGTGTTTCCTAGCTAATATTTGAAGACTACATTCACTTGAAATTAAACTTGTTATTTCTGGAAGTGAAAAGGTGTAGCTGGCTGGAGACGAAAAAACTCCAATTCAAAGTTACCACAATGAACTGGCTTCAATTGTGAAATACTCTCAATACCTCACAACTTAACCTCCAACCTGTCAATCTCATAGTGGTCACGATTTACTGCATACCAACACCAGATAAGTCAACCACAGAAAATGGACAACTTCAAAGATTTGCTAGCCAAATGTGGCTCTATGATCTATACACATCGAGAGATGATTAAATTGGAAATCCATGTTATCCTCGCTGCTCTCTTCCCCATCTACATCGGATCACATGCATCACTCCAACGCCCTCCTTCTGCCTCACCACCTCGCAAATCCTCTTCTTCTAATCGTCTCCAGACTTCAGATGAAGAAGATGAAGAAGAATCAAGAGCTCAAATGGAAGGTATGACGCCTTCTGATGCTATTATCTTTCCACTTTTAGCTGCTGTGGCGTTGGGAAGTCTCTATTTTATTATAAAATGGTTGGATGATCCAGCTATTCTTAATAAAATATTGGGATGGTATTTTTCTGCTCTGGGGATTTTCGGAGTAGGGAGATTGGCAAAGGATTCATTGGATGTGGGAGTGGGATTTATTTTTCCAAACGTGTGGACGGGGGGAAATAATGTTTTTCATGTCGATCAGAAAGCGAGACAACAAGTTTCTGAAGATGGACAGGGGAAATTGGTCAGTGTTGGAATCACGAGCCCTCTTCCTGGGCGACTTTCAAAGATCAATCTACCAACAGGAGTTACGAATGCGTTGTGGAATGTTCGTGGTCTTTTAAGAACAAATTATACGCTTCATCTTCACATTAAGACTATACTTCCTCATCAAAAGTCTCCCATCAAGTTTACATCACTTCTCGGTCTCTTGATAGGGATTGCCACAATCACAGCTTACAATCTGATGAATGCACCATGGTATCTTACAAATCTTATGGGATTCGGGTTTTGCTATGGATCTCTCCAACTCATGTCCTTGACTACATTCTTCACTGGATCATTAGTTCTCTTTGGATTGTTCTTTTACGATATAATCATGGTGTTTTATACACCTTTAATGGTCACCGTGGCTACAACTCTGGATGTCCCAATCAAACTTGTGTTTCCGGCAGGTGAAAGTGGAAGAGGTAGTATGTTAGGATTAGGAGATATCGTTCTACCAGGAATCTTGGTTGCGTTGGCTTTGAGATTCGATTTGTATTTGCATTATTTGTATTTACAGAAATCAACCTCTCCTCTTGTTTCTCCTTCCACAACCTCGAAGAAAGTCCTCGCAGGAACCTCAACAACCCCCCACCCCACATCCCAAAAACCAGCCTACACACCAGCGACCGGCCTCTGGGGCGAACGTTTCTGGACTTCTTCTTTCTCACCTCTCTCCTCTTCCTCCATGAAAACAGGCGTCGAAGGAACTCGTTTTCCAAAACCTTACTTCAAAGCCGCTCTTGCGGGATACATCATTGGAATGCTCGTAACATTATTCGTTATGAATGTATGGAAACATGCACAGCCAGCTCTCTTGTATTTGGTTCCTGGTGTTGTATTCAGCTTGTGGGGAACGGCGGCTGTGAGGGGAGAATTAAGAGTTATGTGGGAATTTACTGAGGATGGGAGTTTAGAGGATGAGGGGAAGAAAGACGAGAATGGCAATAAGATTGAAGGGGGCGAAAAGGGGGAAGTAGATGAGCAGAACGAGAAGAAGGATGAAAAAGCGAAGGAAAAGCGAATCTCAATAGGAGAAGTAACAGAGAGGGAGAATCAACACGAAGAAATCAAAACCAAACTCGCAGAAGCGATTGGTACGCTAATGGACAATTCAGATGCAAGCTCGATACTATCTGATGGGTCGATTTCCTGGCCGGAAGATAATGGAAATGGAAATGCGAGTGAAGCGGATGATGAATTGGTCTATGATAGGTCGGAGAAGGAAAAACAAGAGAGGATTGAGAAAATGGCGAGGAAGGGACTGAAGGCGAAGGAGAAGAAGAAGAGGAAGATAGAGAAGGAAATGAAAGATCAAATTTTCCTCTTTTCTATCATGGGACCGGGATCGAGGAGTGCTGAGACGAAAGGAGAGAAAATGGGGATGGATGGAAAGGGAGAAGGCAAGAAGGATAGATGAGAAATTGTGGAGGGCAGAGGAGTCAGTACCGAGAGAAATCAAAATGACCACGAGTGTCTGGTACTCAGAGAGCAGGAATGAAAAATACATAGGTATCTATCTTCTTTGCCATAGTAAGTCCAGCACAGCATGGGATGAAAAACTAGAAAAGAGAAAGATGCAGATAATACATGAAACAAATCAATAGATGTATAGCTACATATCATATCACATCATATTGAACATCGCATCTGAAAAAAGGAATAGGGAATAAGAAATCTCAAATAAATAAAACTACATCGCTTCGCGTACCCCAAACCCCCCTTCCTCCTCTCTCGTACACCGAATTCGAAAAAGATGGAAATTGTTAGATACATAATCATGCAGTTATCTATTCATCCACACACCCATCCATCCATCCACAACAAAACAACCTAGCCTGCCCCCACGGCAGTGGCCCCCGGAGGGCCAGCGGAGCGTTGTTGCGAGTTAAGGATTTCATGTTAGGACTTTGGAGTACGTGATGTATTTAAGCTGAGGGATTGCCGACTTTTGCGAATTACAATCTAGGGTTTTGAGGACACGGTTAGTGTTAATATAATGGGATCATATGCAATGAATTGATAGTTTGGGGTTAGGATACTGTTGTGATGAGATTTTGCGGATTCTCTTTCTCTCCCCTATTTCTCCTCTCTTCTGACTTCTCTCTATCTGTCTGTCTTTGTGTGTGTGTGTGTGTGTGTGTTCGGTTAGGTATTGTGCTTAATTATAACTTTCTAGCTAGGTATCTGGCCATATTCTTTTTCCCGATTTCTGAACCGGTTCCGTTTTGTTGTTGTATTTAGATAGAGTGAAATGAAATGGTACGTCCTCCCTTCTTCCCTATCTATTTAGTATCTATTATCTATTGATAAATCCATCCGCAACTCCCAAGGGTCAAATCTGCTCACTCTTTCTTTCTATCTATCCCTCTCTGAAACCTTCTATTCCATCTCCTCTATTTTTTCAACTCCCACCTACCAACTTCCAATTCACAAATTCCACGCATTTCAAGAAAGCAACTCCCCTTCTCCTCCGGATCATCTAAGCTCCGAATGCAGCAGCAGGATAACTTCTCTTTTTCTTTCCACCACTTCCTGAAGCTCCACTCCGACTACTACTTCTTGAACTTTCTTTACTTTGTTCATCTCCTTGTGCTCTTGGACGTAAAAATACGTCTTCGGGCAAATCATTCCATTCTCTTTCGGGTCTACGATCTTGAAATGATGTTGTATGTTTTGATGGGGGTGGTCTTGTTGTGCTCATTTTAGGAGGAGGAGGAGGAGTTGATTTCGCAGCCGCATTTTGGATCGAGTCTAATATGGGAGTAGGATTTGACTGTGGTTGTCTAGGAATGTGATCTTGAACCGAAAATCTTCGTCTAAAAACAAATGCGTCTTGTGGTCGTAGACGTCTGTAATATCCTTCGACTAATTCCCCCTTTTCGAATCCGCGCTTGGTATACCAATCTGATGCTTCTTGATTATCGACCCAAACGTGCGCGTATAATCCTTCTATTTTGACTCCAATGGGTATGCGAGAAGATGTAGCAGATTCGATGACCGAGTTTAATAGTGCGGTTGCGAGCCCGATGGTTCGGTAGGGAGACAGTAGAGTGAGAGATTGTAGATATATACTATACGTATTTGCGGGAGGTTGAGCATGTGGAGAAGACGGAGGAGAGGGATCGATTCGACAGATTAGAGAACCGATGACTTTGGGTTCGGAGTTGGAGTCTGGAGTATATGTAACTACTCTTGAGAAAGAGAGAGAGATTGGGATCGAAGGAGACGGAGGAGAAGTAATAGCGTGGTAGAAAGCATCTGGGTATGGAATTGGAAGGAGGAGAGCATTAATACGGCGTAAGGGTTGAATGTGGTGATCTTGCGGTATTTCGATTTTATAACCCTGGGGAAGTTTCTGTGATGATGCAGGTAATGGCTCTAAAGAATCTGGGGTAGCAGTAGTTGCATTGGTTACCGGTAGTAGAGGGGCATTTGTAGAGCTTGGTGGACCCGATGCAGGTTGAGGTGGAGGTACTTCTTGACTTGCATTTCCAGTTCTATTCTCATGAGCATCTGAAGTTGTGATTGGTGTATTTCCTGGTGGTGGACTGTATGTAGGTTGTTTTGGTTGAAAGAATGATCGAATGGTTGGTTGTTGAGGACGCGGTGGTGGAGGGGTATTGTTTGACATGATGTCTGTTGTGTTCATTGTTCAATTTACTTTGCTTGGGTATGGTTTGATCTGATGTTTAAGGAGAGACAAAACTGCTTGGAGGAAGAGAGAAGATGTGCGTGCTCTGAGTGCTTTGTATGTATTGTACTGTAATTCGACTCGACATGTATGAGAAAAGAGATGTGTCTTCTTGGACGTTTCCTACTAGCATTTCGTGGAGGAGAGTATATAAATGACATATGGAATTATATCAAGGTTCAAGGATATCATTTCCACTCTGTACCTTTTTTCATCAGCCACGAGTTTCCATTTTTATCTTCTCTATCCCTTCACTCCAAACTGTTTTCTTTTCCTCCCTCTGTACCTAGTAATAAATAGCTAGCAAAGAGTGAAGCTTGCTTCTTCGCCCGTATTAGGTAAATAGCCAATTGGTCATCAGTATTGATTGACCTTCACCGCCCTTACTAATCCCAAGCAAGTTAAACATGAACTGGCAATAATTTCGAACATCATTGAGCTCTGGGTATGAAACCCCAAAGTACCTAGTCCAGTACAGGAAATCAGTACATACAGCACCAAATTGCCCAAAGTGTGAGAAAGAAGAGGTTCAAGGGAAAACAAGTTAATTAATATCAACCAATTTTCTATCTTGGAATCTTGGGGAAAAGAAATTGAAGGTATTCAGACAACGACGACACAATACTTCTCTTCTTCTATTTTCTCTACCTCGGGTGGAAATTCAATCTCAACTATAAAATGATCTTTTATTCATTTCAAATCCCTTTTATCATTTCTTAAGAAAGAAGGAGAGATAGAGAGAGAGAGAGAGAGAGGGAGAGACAGGAAGATCTTCCAATCATTTCTTTCCATCCATAGTTCCTAACCCTCTCCCAAGTTCCCTCCCCCGAATTCAACAATTCCCTCAGCCTTGGGGTTTTCCAAGAAACTCAATTTATTTCAAGGAAAATCTTACCACCAACTGGCAAATAGATCCTCAAAATGTCTGCCAACGATCAGTTTCCTCAGACTGGTATAATAACTGCTGGTCAAGATGAAGAAATTGATACTATGGAGAAACTTGTAATTATCCTTTTTCATGCCTTTCCCTTGCCTGCCTTTCCTTGCCTGACTTTCCTTGCCTGACTTTACCTCACCTTTTTACAAGCAAAACTTGTGTGTTGCCTTGCTTACTTGCCAATTTACTGACATTTTACAATAGACAAATTCGGTACTTGATGATATCTTCTACAACATCATTCATGATATAGTATTACAAACTCATCGTGAAGAGAAAATAGCAAAGGCATGTTCGGCTGCTATTGCCATTGAACAAAAAGTCGCAGAAACCAATCCTGATTCAATAGACGATCCTACTTCTTGGAACACAAATCAAATTATAGAAACCGATGCGGCGAAGTGGGAAAATAAAGAAGTTTTCTTAAAAGGCAATCCATTAGAATTGGTCGATGAGATTATCTGCGCAAAGTGTGGTTTACCTCGACTTTTACAACCTACAGACGGAGTGGGAGCAAAGAAACCTCCTCCAGGAAAGGAGTTCTGCAAGAAGAAGCCTTTCATTGAGAAACCATGGCATGATGTGTATGGTCAAACTTATGTGCCAGAAGGACCAGGTAGAGGAAAGAAGAAGAAGGATATGATCAATCCTTTACTACAACAACAGAAAGAAGGAACACCAAATAGTCAGGATGGTGAAGACGAAGGACCGGCGAAACCAATTTCTTTCCCTCACGCCAAATGTCACAATTGTAACACATTTCTACCGATTAAGCGAATGAACAATCATATGGTGAAATGTATTGGAGGTGGAGGAAGAGATTCTGCAAGAGCAGCTGCCTTCAAAATTAATGGAAATGGATTGGGTACAGGAAATAACAGTCAAAATGGTACACCACCTTTAAGTCGACAAGCAACACCACAACCCCATGGAGGAAAGAGAGGTAGTCCTCATAAACGCGAAGCTCCCGATGATCCAGATTTCGAATCCGATTCTCCACAAAAGAAAAAGAAGTTATTGAAGAAACCAGGTAGCTCGGGTGGAATTATTCTGAAGAATAAACTCAAAGCTCCGAAAATGGCAAAAACACCTTCACAACTTTCCTCATCAAATCTTAGTTTCGAACACAAAAGACCGGATAGTGATGATGATAATGATTCAGGAGATGATGATCGAGATGGTGAATATGGAAGGAGGACTAGTATTGAGCCGAAGAAGAAAATGTTGGTTAATAAGACGGGGGCTGGGATAGTCAAGAAGAATAAGGACGGTGGTGGTCTTGGTATTGCTGGGTTGAGCGATAAAAAGAAAAAGAAATTATTATTGGGCAGACCGGGGAGTGGCAGTTCAACACCAGTCCTGAAACCAGGTTCGTTACCAATGGATGAGGATCGAGAGAGGGAAAGAAAGAAGATCAAGAATGGAAATGGAAGTGGAACTTTGAGTGCTCATAAGAGAGACAGAGAGAGAGAAAGAGAGAGAGAGAGAGATAGGGATTGGGGTGCGGATGAGAAATCTGAGAGTAGTCAGACTTTGTCTAGTCCAAATTGAGGAGGTTGTGAACTGGAGGGGAAAGGTGTGTGGGGGGCGTTGATTTCAAATTCAACGAGTGGTTAGGGATAGGTTACAATAGAGAGAAAAGAGAACTCATGAGTTCCTTAGTGTAAGACCATGGTGGAATGAACATTTGAAAGGCATTGATGGGGAACAGGATTCCAATGGGTAACATACATGCATATGGCTGGCGTTCATTTCTCACTTCTTACTTTTATGTTCGGCATTCAAATATGCATATACACAAACGTTTCGGGGGAAGAATATACTTGAGGTATGGTGTTTACATTGCTACCGGTGCCGAAATGTATCGGGAATGCATTAGGGGTATACATTTGGCGTTGCATTACCTTGTTTTTCGTTTTTTATTTCGTCTCGGACGACTTCTTTGTATTTATGATGGGAAAGGATTGATGAATTGGTGGATGGGATGTGGGAGTGGGGAAGGAGGGGATGATACCCATTAGTAAGGAAAGGATGGGGAATATAATACAATATACTTTACTTGTGAGTGTGGCTGGCTCGTGATCTGCTGTGATGAGCTGTGCTTTGAGGAGGAATGACTTGCAATGGAGAGGTTGTGATAATGAGGGTCATGGTATTATGGGATTGTGAAATATGGATGGGGAATTGAATGGCTGTATGAGAGCAAGAGGTTGACGTGTTTTGAGTTGGATGTTTGCTCTGTGTGATAGGCAAGTGTATATACAAGCAAGTGCTTATGTGTCAAGAGAGAATGTATGCGTGAGCGAGGGTATGTATGTATATTTGTATGTGTACGTGTATAGATGGATGCAAAGATTCATCTGTATGTGATCTGGTGATTTGATTTTGTATCTTGATTTTGTATTCGAGTTATTATGGGAATGCAGGGACTACCTAGGGACCTAATGATAGGGATGGAGTATGAGTGGCTGAGTGGCTGACTACTTTCGGGGGGGTGGACGGGCGGGAAGGTGGGTTGGAAAATGAGGGGTGGGCAAGGGTGAGAGTGTGTGAGGAGGGGCTGGAGTTTGAAAGGGTTTGAAAGGGTTTGAGAGGTTGTTTGCTGTGTTGTGGGGAAGTTATTGAGGGTTGAGGGGCGGGTGGAAGGGGAGGTGGAAGAGCAAGGTAGGAAGAGATGGGGGGGCGGGGGTTACCTCTTTCAATACATCAATCAATCAGTGAGTTTCTTTCGAAAGTGTCACTTTTATCAACATCACTGTCGTGATTATCATTAGCATTATAGTTTCTTTCTCGCTCTTACACTCTTGTACTCAATCTCGTTGTCGACCGCGTTCTCGTCGAAGGGTGTTAGTATCGCATCTACAAATCTGCTTCAGTATCTCGCAGGTGTGTTGCATTACATTGCAGTCTTATCCCTTTCTTTCTTCTCGTGTTAAGCAACATCGTGGAAGTACTGGAATGGATGGGGGTTTCCACGTATCATAGTCGCTGCTTCTGTCATAGTGGCGTGCTGCGTGCTGTTCTGGTTGTTTGGGGAGGGGGGGGGGGGTATATATATACATACCTGCGTGTATTAAAAGACTTTGTACCCGCGGTGGGGGTTGCGCGAGGTTCATGATTGAACCGAGATGTTCTGTAATAAGTCTAGATGGGTTGAGGAATGGGAGAGGAGAGGAGGAGGTGTGGAAGTGGACTTTGGGAATGAGACTCTCGGTTGTTTACCGTATAGTGGTTTTGTGTATCTTATTGCGGAGTGGCGGGGGTTCTCTTGTTCTTTGGGGGGATTTGTGAAGAGGGGGTGAGACGGGAAGGGAGAGATATAAATACGTTCACTGTATGTTTTCTACTCTTCTTCAATATTCTGGTGGCTGGGATGAAGAGGAAATTACCCTAGGTTGATGAGGTCTCGGAGAGGTGAATGACGGGAGTACTCTAGTGTTTGAGCATTTGATGGGAATCGGGGAATTTTGTGGTATAGTTTGCGGATTGCGGGAGATGAGATGAGATGGGATGGAGGATGGGGATTGTGATGAGTGAGTGAGTCTTATTGATTCCTTTATTCTCGTTGTGATACGATGTTGACATTGTCGCTGTTCATTCTTTATCTTTTGCTTTGTGAAGTTTTTTATGCTACTGTTCTTGTGGATTCATGTCTTATCATCGCTATTGCGTATTACTTTTTGAATTCCCATTTCTCTTTAACTCAGTGCTCCAGGCTGAGGATCATCACGGTTAGTATGGATTGAGAGTGCGGAGAAGTTTGCATTGAGATATTGAAGAACTTATTTAGTATCTTAATGTTGATGTTCATAGTGTGTGTTGAGAAGTTGTAGGAAGTAGGAGGAAAGAAATTGGAGGTGATTTTATAGGATAGGTAGGTAAGTGACGTTTTAGTAAGAGGTTAAGTTCTTGGGGGGTGGGTCATGTTACAGTTCTGGATATTTATGAGGAAGTTTTCAGGAGAATTGATTGTGGAGTAGGATTTATTATTGAGGGGATTGGGGGATAAATGTTTGTTCTTCTTCTTCTTCTTCTTCTTTGGAAAACTCGTCTTGGTGGGTTGTATTGGTAGTAATATTATGGTGCATGATAAGGGATTAATAAGTACAGCCTCACTGTCTGCAAAATATCCCCTGTCGTTCTGGTTATAATCCGTGACTTTGGATTTGGAATATATTATATTTTGGATTCGTATATATGCTGTAGATGCTACGTGGTAGATACATAGAACCCAGGAAGTTTCACCTGGTTGTCTATAAAAGCAGCTCATAACTTGTATGTTGAGATTCTGTAATTGGGTCGTGCTCGAAGCTGCTGTAAAGGAGAAGAAGGCGGTTTTCTCTGTTGTGGTGTGGTGTGGTAATTATGGTGTGGTGTTATTTTGAGATGGACTTGGGAGAACAGAAGATGAGTAAGTATTCACGTGGGCGATGAGAGCTATAAGAGTGAGGGACGCGCATGGATATCGACATTAATATAGTTAAATTTGCTATTTTTGGCATTGTTACTGTTGTTGTTTTCACTTCTTGACTCGGCGTTAATTCTTGTAGTCAATCATTAACACTCTATTCGCTATCCTCATTTGCCAATGTCACCCTTCTTTACACCACTGCTGTCTCTATCACATCCCCATTTTCAACCAATATAACTCTTGAGTCTAGGAATATAGTGTGTACATCTTCTCGAGCAAATCTGAAGATAAGCAATATGGTAATGAATCTGTGCTTTTTTCCCTATGCTCTTTTGACTCGTTTTTGTTGTGTTTTTGTACAGAAAGGGATACCCAGGTGTGTAACGGGGTAATTTATAGGAATATGTGGAAATTCGAGAATCAGGATCGAGAGGAAAAGGGTTTAAAGTATGATTCAAAGCTATGGAGTGGAGAGAGTGAAGGAATCAAGGGGAGAGAGAAGAGAATAGAGTTTAGATAGTCATTTTTATATCTTACTTTTTGGGGAGCAGGGAAGTGGTATATAAGTACCTCTTCTTTAGTAAATTTATACTCTCATGAATCCTTTAGCAAGGTGCATGTACACATTCAAGGACTGATGACTTCTTTGTGAGTTCATTTGTGGATGTTTGGAGATAACTCGAAAGAGTGAGAGAGTGAGAGAGCAAGAGAGAAATTGGCCGTGGAGATACAGGCAGACTTGGAATTCCGATGGTGCCGACATTGATCTTGTTACTACCATGTTTTGAGGGTTTGCAGTGTATTTTCGTTGTCGTTCCTTGATTATTGGTTTTTGTCTCAGGAGCTACACAGAGAAAATTGTTATTTTGCGAGCTCAAATTTTCGGCTTAACGGTTGGATGTAGATGAGGCTTCAGACGCTGGCGTTGGGTTCTTGCTGACTGTTCCTATTTTGAGGGGGCAAGTTATCTTTTTCTTTTGTAAATTGAAGTGAGGGGGAGTAGTTCTTAAGATATATCAGATCTTACAGGAGGCTGGAATTATATGCGATGGGTTGTATGCAACAGGGAGAGGGCGATAAGATTAGTAATATTGTCTTCAGCTTGAATCCCTTTTGTGCTGTATTGAGATGTGGCGTGAGGAGCAGACATTTCCCGTTTCTGCTTCGAACTGTCAAATTATTTACTAGAAGTGGAATCAGATTGTGGTAGTCCTCAAGCGATCCTATTTCTAAATTTCCTATGGATGTATTTAAGGCGTACCACTACTTTGACAATTCCCAGCTCCATGGCATTTTTTACACCAACAACACTTGGCATACAGGAGGCAGGCAGTATTGATATTTGCGTCACTATAATGAGATTATACACGCGGCTATGGATGGGATTACATCAAAGCTCTAACAGAAATAGAACGAGGTTCAGTCAAGATGAAATTTCATCGTCGTTTATTTGGTCGACTATCAATCTTTGTTTTCATCGTTGATTCTCACAGTCATCTTTACTTGGTTCTCTAACTAAGTTTCTAGTAGAGTCGTTGATGGATGTCTACGAAGCTTCTTATCATACGCATCTTGAGTTTCAATTGCGATAGTAGTCAACCATGCGGAGGATTTCTATCTCGCTTTACTGGTATAACGATTAAGCAATAGGGATACTATGAGCTTTTTTATACTATTGCGTTGAAAAAATTCCACATCTTGGACTAGGGAAATTTCGCGCCATAGCAGAACGGTGATTTTATGATGAGTGAGCCCTCAGTTACACTCCATGGATCGAGGGATGAGACTTGGTAGACAAGGTATAGAAAGTTTTATCCCCATCACATATCTTGTTATCTCTCAAGTGTATAAATGTTGAGGTTCCGTTTGGCCTTCAATCTCACAATATTCTTTTCAAGTGCTGCTGCGAGGCGTGAGGGCATAGTCTCAGCGGAAGTCGGTCTCTGAATAGCACCACTTTTTTGATGGAGCCAGAAACTCATTTTCTCCTATTTGATGAATAAATCTTTGCACATTTACGCGGTTGAAGAAAATACCAAACTTGTTATTGTCGAATATGAGTTGGAGGACTCGTTTTCGTTTTATTCTTAGGATTATGAAATTGATTGCTGTCATGTCTACCCATTTTCTTCTTGTCGAGACTTGCGTGTGTGTGTGTGTCGAGCAGGATAAATGTCAATATAGTGTGTCATTTAATCAAAACTTTATGTTGTTTAAGATTCATACTGCCCCGATCATCTGAATTGTGTTTCCATGTAGACCAGACAGAAAAGGGAATTGATTAAGAATTTCACGAAGTAGAGAAGTTGATCTCCCCAGAGAGGCAAGATTGAATGGCAGAAGTTTGTGACAAAAATATTTCCTTTGCCTTCTAATATGATTATAGAATCTAGATGCGAATGGATCGAGAGATTCTTGATTCCTATCATCCCTCCATCGACTAGGGGATCCACATCTCCTGTTAGACTTTGATACTTCTGGGTGTATTTAAGTAACCAGACTTCTAGTAACTTCTATACAAATACAAAGCATTCATGAATCCTTGATAAGGCGGTGCAGATGTTAGCTTTGCTTCTTAAAATTAGGAGGTGAACCTGTTAAATACACTGAGAGTGATTATCGAGGAAATTCAGAAGTACGGAAATTGTTATCGTCGTTGATTCAAAGAACGTTCGTTGATTGTTGATCAATACTACCATTTTGTTTTTCCTCACTGTTAATCTAAGAGCTCTTGCTATCATTAGAATTGGTCTAATTATTCTATATGGTTTCGTGATCATGGGTTGTTTTTTCTCAAAGAGAGTGAAATTCCGGCTATATCTACGTGTTTTCCTGACTTTCAGCTGCGATTGACAGAACAAGTATTCAATTCTAGGACCTCGACGAAGCGAGCCAGTATCGAGAGCTTCATCACTGGATCTGCTAAACTCTGCTGCTTGTTTGACTTCGGCTACTATTCGTTACGTGATCGTCAATCAACTTCATCTACATATAGAATTCAGCCAAAGCCTAAAGGAGCTTCTTCCAAGTCTGGATAACTCAGGCTATAGAAGTAGCAGTTGAGAAAACTATTCTTGATCGAAATTCGCAAATCTTTGTGGACTTGCTTATAGAAGTCATGTATTTCGTGGACTTAAGAAGTGGCTTATGGTTGATGTAACTTGCTCGTACGAGAGTCATGGTCTAGATCGTGATAAGAAAAGTTGAGTCAAAGGATCAGGGGCAAAGATTCATCGGAACATGCCATAAATTTATATATGATTTTTTGTTCGCCACGTGCTTAAAACTTTTCCCCTTTTTCTTGTTCTTCGGCTTTCTATCTCTGGTTATAACTTAACATTCACATGAGGGGTGCGACGACTGTGAATTGTCGATACATCAGAGAGCACGCCCTTTTGGAATCTCCCGTGATTTGTGATAGAGTTCTTACTGATGATTTTACTTCGCGTGATTGGTAGCATCCGAACGTTCTGGCCTAGATTTAACTCGACCTCGCGTAACTTTCCATGTATTTTAGACGTCCTTTTCCACGGGGAGACACCATAAACACCAAAAAAGACAATTGTAGGAGAGAGTGAGTAAAGGCCAATTCCGTTTATATTACATGAAGATTTTATGCAATAAGAGATCAGAGCGCCTTTGACTACGATTAATGGAATTACGAATCCAAGGCTGTTTGCCTGAATTATGATGGAGAAGCTACCAAAACTATCACAAGCAATGTTGTTTCAACTGGCATGGTTATCCAGACAACAAACTTATTTTAAACAACTGAAATTGGTTCTACTGTCACCATAGCAGCCGCACAGTCAACTTCAACTGTCCCCGCATCTTCTGGATCTCTTCCTTTGGCGAATGACCCTTATGTTATAGCTAATGGAGGGGCTGGAGGGGCCAACAAGAAGCGCGGATAGGTTAACATCCACTCAGAAGTCAGTACTTGGATGAAAATTATCAAAAAATAAATGAACTAACCAAAAATACAGTCTCTAAGCCAACCAGCTTCAACAGCGGCCGCTTACCCTGTCATCATCCCCACCAAGCTGCTAGCCCAGAGCTGATTGATTCTTTAGCTTCTGGTCCTAGAGATTCCGATGTGGAAGCCAAGCCAAAGAGATGGTGGTTTGATTCATGGTGAAAAAACACCAAATATCCTTCCTTGATATATTGTCGAAAAATCGTCAGGGTTGTCCACACTCAAATGATCACTCTTCAGGCACAAGGAGAAAGTACCACAACTTTGCCTCCGGAAGTTGCAACTTCCATCATATTATCAACATCAACTCAAATCATCACATCGGCACCATCTACGACTGCTACTACTACAGTTGTCCAAATTGAAAATGTAACGTCGATAGGCACCGAGAAGGATGTGATTACTCACAGCTCTCCAAGCACAACAACAACGTTCCCACCGCAAGCTACACCGTATGATATGTGCCAGGAGAACAAAATAGTAGCAGCCGTGGGAGGAGCTACCATCGACTATTCCCTACCTAGTTACGGTCCATCCAGCCTCCAACTCCACTGGACATATATAGCCGATCCCTATGTGGAACCATATAATTGCTGTGCCATATGTGCACAATCATCTACATGTGTTGGATGTTTCTACAATATCGATACAACCGCCAATCCTGGTCCTGCTGTCACTTGCTACACGCATGAAGCAACAGATGGTGTTTGCGATCTCTCTGGGATTCGGTATGTTTTCCGTGCAGATTTGAAGCGTAATACTCTTTCTCCTAATGTAGCAGAAAATGGAAATTGCGGTAGAGGACAGCTTGATAATGGGGCTAGACCTAGGTTGGATGGTAAATTGTGATTCTTTGTAGACATTGAGTCCTTGAAAATTGCGAATGATAGTTGATCGATGGGTAGGTGTGTAGTTTATGGATTGCGCAGTTTCTCCTCGTTGAAGACCTCAGTTGGGTCTGATATATGAAATTTTTGAAAAAGTAGGAGCCAAAAAGAGACAATCTAGAGTTTTGATTGTATGTAATTGAATGTCGGATATAGGAAATATCTTGCAAAAGGAAAATTAAATCACGGATTTGTATCTTGTATTTATCTTGAACATCGAAGTAAAACTAAGATCAATTACTTTCTATCTTCTGATAAATGGGAACACAGGGATATATATGGAATCCCAGCTGTAAGACTGATTAATTCTGTATTTTCTTCAACTCCTCTGTCATTGAATGTAAGATGATTTCTTCAATATCTTCTAACGATGTAAGATTACAGTCTGGAGAGCCGAGTCACAGTTATTGAGAAACAACTTGCCAGATTAAATAAATTTCTATTCTAAAATATATACAAAGAAGTGAATCCAGCCAAGTATCAATACATTTCCATGCGTATTCTTCATCACCATCTACCCACTCTTCTCAAGCTTCCTCAACAAAACTCTCGTTCCATGTCTTGGGATAACCATTGTGGTATATCCCATGGTAAGTGATTGATTTTCATCCGCCAATTTGAATTCGTAGTTGGTCATCAAGTGCGCCAAAATTTGTTTCAATGATGCGCTGACGTACCAACGGCCAGGACTGAGCAGGTGTTAGTTTTTGCACCATGTATTAAACAAAGGGATATACTCACCAAGCTTTCTTACTAGCCCCCCAAAATGGAAATCCACTACTGACATCCGTATACTTCATCCTTGGTTCTTCTCTCCCTCTATCCTCCGGTAACACAAATCTAAAACCATCAAAAGTTTCCGGATTATTGTAATACCTCGGACTTTTCATCAACGCATCTTGAGGCACCGCAATAATGTTACCAACTGGAATGGTTTCGCCACTCGAGAATGTGAATGGTTTCATAACTTTACGTTGAATGGAAAGTGCATCTAATGGATTCACGCGAGCTGATTCGCGGAGGAAAGATTCCATTAAAGGCATGTTCTTGTACTGCATTTCTTCGGGTAAGGATAGCATGGTGTGGATTTCTTCAGTGAGTGGTTCAATGTATTCTGGATGAAGACAGAGATTGTAAATTGTGAAAGTAAGAACTAGGGGGAGTTGATGAGCGGAGGCGAAAGTGAGGGCAATCATTTGTTGGACAATACGCTCTACGGTACGTTGGCGGGGCGTTGTGGATGATTCCTAGACAAGGTTAATATTCTTCGGCCAGACAGTGTGGAAATTGATATTCTTACAATGACCCAAGTTATACAATCAGACTGTGATGATAAGGTTAGCAAGCAATTCTTGAAGATTCTCTTTGATAGCTTACGGGTAAAGATTTCTTCTCCTCGATATCTCTAAGACGTTGGATAACCAAAGGTCTGATGTGCCCGGCTACCTTTTTCATTGCACCACTCCAGGCCATAATAGCGGGACAAGCGTATCTAAAAAAAGATCAGAATTGGATATTTAAGAGTGCAGATATTGGGTTGCTCACGGAATGATGAATGCAGGCATGTAACGACAAAATTCCATAGAGAGAATAACATCGTTCGAGTATCGTAACACGGCATCAACATAATCTTGGTCATTGGCTATGCATCTGTTAGTGAAACTACAATCAAGCAAAACCGTGGCATATAGACGCACCAAGTTCATCTCCAACAAGCACTTGACAATTGATTCTCAAACCGATAGCCTCAGATAGGCCTAAGACAGAAACTGAAGTCCAATCTACGTCAAGTTAGCAGAGCAATTTTTCATAAGTAGTTTCGCAGTAAGTTTATTACCATTAACAGATTTTCCTTTTGACAAAACTTTGTTAAATGCTTCCTCAATTTTCTGCTGAATTCTGGGTCTCAGGGCTGGTTGATTTGTTCTCAAAAGGAACTTGAGAACACGCCCTGGTATAGTATCATGAGGATCAATTTCTCCAGTCTCAAATCCATAGAATGTGTATTTTGCTTTGACTCGCTGTACATCACATTAGCTCATACCCCATGGCACAAGAGATTTCTTTCCAAAAGTGACGGAGAAGACATACATCTTCCATAGCATCATGCAGAGACAAATGATCTTGGGAACTCTCGTTCACTTCTGCAATGTGCGCCTCAGACGAAACAAAGACTTGATACTCATCGAGGGCTGGAATAGCAAATGGTTCTCCTTTCGCCTACAACCCAATTAGCTTAGGATCAGATATAGACTTGTCATTGAGATATCAGAGTGCAGTACCTGATCATATGCTTTCTGGATGATATCTGGAGCACCAAGAACATATTTTATGCTGCTCAACCATTTTCCCCAACGCAACTTAGGTCCAGAAATGAGTATGTTACGCTGTCAAAGTTAGTGATTGTTGATATGGTGAGAAGGTGAAGGAGGACTTACAGGACGGTTGCGGTAAATAGATGCTGTGACATAAAGTCTATTGAGAATGATCAAAATTACACAAGTATCAAACACCACCTCTGAGGTTATCCTCCAAGCACCCGCTTGAGAGCGAACTACGTCAAAAAATTCCTGAAGCATTGTGATGATACAAATCGAGGTTTGAAGATGGCCGACACGAAGGATCACGAGAAGAGCACCAGATGTATACTGCGTGGCAAATGTCCGAATCTCATTCTTGGAGAACTAATTTCCTACTTGGGAAGGGTGGGGGCGGAAAATTGTGACTTCACATCAGGCAGAAAAGATGAAATTACCATATCGTACTCTAAGCCGTGCCGCGATAGCAGACATACAATCGACGGTAGTGAAATAGAAATAGCCGCTGCCAACTTTCACAAGTGGTGAACCGATTGTGATATTAAGTCACATAAGTGCCGGAAGGACCATCAACTCCGAAACACTCCACTAGATAGTTCATTCAAACTTGATCGTTCCTTCACCCCAAGCAGGCATGGCAATATGATGAGCGGGGCAGATTATTTAAAGTATGAAATATAGCTTCGGTAGTCAGCCCGTTTTAAGAAATTCGCGAACTTGTAGTGGAGAAATAGTTCGTACCATTGGGATCAATTTGATCCGTGGTGCATGAAGTAAGTTGAAGCCTACGATAGTGCGATAAATCAGTCTGGGCGTGTGAAAAACGTTTGCTTTAGTGTGTGTGCGCATCAATTAAGCGCGATCGATTTATCTCGACCATGTTCCTGGAAAATTGCGCACATCTTTCTTCTACCGGAGGATTCTAACCTGGTGAGAGCATGTACCGTGAAACCCGTCACTTCGGATGTCATCACAGTAGGATGAAATATCGTTGGTCGGATTAAATATCCAACGGAATATTTTTGTGTAGTGCTACGTGTGGTTAATGCGTTTTTTGACGTTCAGGGGTAATAAAAAAGTGTGGTGGAGAACATGGCACTGGGTTTTCATAATCAGGGGGGGGGGAAACGATATTCTTCAAGGAACTCGAATTACGCATGGTGAAGAATATGTCAGCGTCGCAATTATCAGTACCTAGCGCTCTTATCTGATCCAATCCCCTTTGAGATATTGATGTATGGTTGCAATGCTATAATGTACATCGACATAGCGTGGGGGACAGGGACTGGACACTGGTATTACAGTATGGTGCATTTGATATTATTTCTTACAATGCAGACATTAATTTGCAGCGTACATGTTATATAAGAGTGGGATATCAGGCCAGGCGTGGCGTGGCGGCGTGGTTGCATTGCATAGTTGCATTGCTTTGATAGCTCAACTATACATAGAACATTTGAAGTAACATTGAAGGGATTAATTTCTAAAATCAGCTTTTAAGTTTGAATTGCTGATCATTGATCAGCAAAATCAGCAATTCCTTGCACTTTGGTTTAATCAGCCCTTGTAAACATCTCGATCAGCTCAGTTCAGCGAACGTTTAGAAAAGCGGTTCTATGTTATTGTGCTGTGTAGGTATTTAGCCGACCTGAAGTCGCTGAGCAAGCATCGAGCCTAGGTCAGGTCAGGGGTTAAACCAGGGTATGCGGGGTATACACTTATGCATATCTCGTCCCTCTATGCGCCTGGGATTTCTTCGTAGGGTACGGATATTCTCCGACAGCATTACTTGAAATGATACCAAGCACGGAATGAAGTTAGATTTTCTTTCGAGAAGACTTCCACAAGAGATTTTTCCTGCAAAATGTAAACCTTCGACGGAGGTTTATTCCAGATTCTGAGGCAAATTGTGGTGTGATTACTCATCCATGAAAAGACCAAAGGGTAATATGACAATAGTGACATTTTGAAACCTAGGGACCAAGATAAAAGGCATATGTAAAAGAGTAAAAATTCTGGGTATTTGCTATACAAAATTTAGAATGAATATAGGACAACCTAAGCCCCTAAGAAAATCGTAATAAATCCGTTACGCATGTTAAAATCCTTTCCTCGAAAGTTCCAACCATTCCCACGTAACCCACGAACCAAACAATATATACAAGATTGCAATCAAACTACACGTTTTCATAATAAGTTCTCTCACGCTCTAGTGTCGTCGCAAGCTCATGAGTAACCTCATATCGTTGCTTGACCCTGACATTATCCAATGGAAGAATGCTTTGCTCGCTTGTTACACTGCTTCCTCCATCGGTAGGACTTTGGCTGTTCTTCGAGTCCGCTGTTCGCATATAGCTGTCTTGACCGGTAAATGTATCAAGCGTTACTCTCAATCTATTTCTTCTGTTGTTCTTGGGGTAGATTTCGGAACTCTTTGGTGGAGTATATTTGGATAATTTGACATTTTCTTCCTTGGAGAAGAGACCGCGAATAGAGGCAAGGCAGACAACTACAATAGCTAAAGAGAAACATGAATTAGATTAACAGTTCAGAAATACGTTGATTCGGAGTATTAACTTACCAATTGTAGTCTCAATAGCAGACCACATGTAGAGCCATGAAGTATCAGGCATGCGAGTCAACGAACTGACGACTGTAGTTCGCACGATGGCGAAGGTGACTGTGATGAGAGCTAGAGAGAAGATGATACCGAAAGTAATCTTTCTCTTCATCTTCATTTGCGTACCCCACAACATACTGATTGGAATGACCATAACTACGCATGCAAGTTAGTTAAGTCTAACGCGAGAAAAAGAGAAGAAAACTTACTCAAAGCATCGGAAACCACATCCCAAGCACAGTTTAACTTCAAGGTAATTTGTTGGAAGTTTACCGCAGAGTCCGTTGTACATTTTGTTTCGATTGTAGTCAATGGAACAAACAAACAATGATATTGAATTGTCCCAATGCAAGCAAAGTAGGTGCAGATAGTGAAAACAGTGATTGGCCACCATAGGAATTCAACCTTTGCCACATGCGATCCAAGTCGTCGAATGAAGAGCAAGAAAGAGAACTTGACAGACCACAAAGTGGAGTAAAAGAGGATGATGACGACTCCGGATGCTTCGGAATAAGCCTCACTGTTGGTAACGAAATCCGCTCCAGGCATTTTGATTCCAGCTGACACGGCCATGAGGTCGAACATCGCTTGGGCATGAATCTGCCATAGTATTGCACTGGCAAGCGCAAGAGCCAACGCTAAAAAGGCAAATATATCGTCGGTGTATAGACTTTTGAAGGTCTTAATTCTAGAGAATGTCCGTAAAGCCATGCAAATTGCAGCTATGGCGAAACCTCCCCAGATGACACCCTGAATGATTGTTAGTTGAGGCTTTCCGAGTGTCCATGGATAAAACAAGTGCACGTACCAGAAAGGTTTTCATATCAACCTTTGTTGGCTCAACAGTAGCCACTGAACCCGAAGTAGAAGTAGACATGGTGTATAATGAATCAACCTTGAGTAACTTGGTTGTCTAAACTGGACCAGTCGAGGATGATCGTCCACAGCACAAAGAAGAAAGCTTGCGGTTTAGACTCTCGAACACGGAGAGAACGTGGTGCTTATCTACTGCCACTGGTTACAGAGATGCCATATGGAAATCAAGCAAGAATGGGGCCTAGAGGTGGGGTCTCTTTCATCACAGCTTTTTGGGATAAGGTCTCGGTGAGTTCTATTGAAACTGCCTACTGTGATCGATGAACCCACTGTGCCATGCGTTTACTACTGCAATGTAAGCCCTAAATTAGTCAGGTCATAATTCTCGCGAAACATTCTGCCACGATTTCTGCAAGAATCTCATGGTCAGTCGTTTATCTCATGTCCAAAGCTTATGGAGACCCCAATTGCGTTAGCCGCCGAGTTCATTACCCTGTATATTTGTGAGTACCCCTCCAGATCCTTGGTTTCACTAGTCACAAACTCCAAAAAATTACCGTCACACAGTATTATTTTGCCGATTCTTCATTTATATGCTTATCGAAATTTTGTGACAGGAGGAGTCACGGAGGAAGCGTGTCGAAATCTCATTTCCAACCGCCTGGATGTGAGATCGGCGTGTGCCTTGTGGCCAGTGCGTGTAATTTGTGCAATCACATAGGCCAAAAAGTCCACCTGCCTAATATGGGTCTAGCTCCATTCCAGCATGGCTGAGCTTGATACCATGGTCTTTGTCGCATATCTCGCATGCGGGGAAGAATTTTAGTCGGCGATATAACACGTTTTGTGAAGATTGAACTATCTTTGTGCAAGTGTGACTGTGAAGACCCAAGTTTTGGGTTTAAGGTACCAAGGCTTTGAAGGAACCGTTGTCTTGGGTTTACAATCCTACTCGCCATGTGTGTGGATGATGTCGACACTTGAGCGGCCTGTTCGTCTGGCAGAGTCCCTGACTAATAATATTCAATCGCTTAACCTTGATACCAAGGTCTAGAATGACATCAAAAAGAGACCACCAGTGGGTGTACGGACTGACAGGACACTGCAAAAAAAATGACTTGTGAATATTTCTTGATATATTAATTTGGAAATCTTAGCGGTTACTAAAATCATTGATTAGAAATAGAACAATCCAATTTTAAATTTGATATCAAACAATTGAAGAATGAATTTGCTAGATTGTTTGGAAATTGAGAAGTGTCGCGGCAATTCATACACCCACTGGTGGACACAAAGAACAATGACCTCCTGAACCTCTTGCGTGCTGCGTCACTCCATGTTAAACTATAGCAATGTCCTATTGTGGATGAATGGTCATTGCATTTCAGTGACGCAGGAAAACTCAATTAGTCAAGCACAATACAATAATCTCGGTACCAGTATGAAATCGGAATTGAATGTTAAATGTTTGATGAAATTCAATTGTTCCTCTCGGCGCTCAAAAAATAGTTAAACAAAAATATGTACATAAAAATAGAGACGAAGCTGTAACAAAGCATCTTATGAAACCCCTTTATTGAATCATTCCTATCCTTCCCTCTCAATATAGGTTATACTTCTCCCTCTCGGTCAAATCCATGAACACATCCATGTTTTTCACTGGGCCTGTAATTCCGAGCGAAGGTGTGCTCTCATCCAACACCGGAAACTTTCCATTTATCCCAGGTGCCAGCTTAACATCAAATCTTCTGAAAATAATAGCAACAAAAGCGTAAACCTGCTCCTTAGCCATAACACGCCCAGGGCAGTAACTGATTCCACCACCAAATGGGCGGTAAGAAGAATGTTTCAGCATGCCCTTATCTCTGACAAATCTCTCTGCATCAAAGTTCTTGTAATCTTGACCCCAGACATTCTCATTCATATGTAGTTGTCGGGAAGGCATGAGAACATTAGACCCAGGCTGCATTAGCTTGTTACCGATCATAGTTGGCTGCTTGACTTGACGACTCATCATTGCACCGCCATTCAAGCGTAGTGATTCCTGGAATGCACCATCAAGATTGGGAGAATTAGCACATAGATATTTGATGTCAAGTTCGCCGTCTTTCCAGCCTGCTTCCAACTCGTCGCGAACTCGCTCCATAAGAGGGACGTTGTAAACAAGATGAGCAATAAGCCAAAAGGAGATGTTGTACTCATTTGAGTTTGCACTATACATTGTTAGGAACTTATCCTTTCATATAGGAATCAATGAAACTTACGCCCAGTAGATCAATAAAAGCATACAAGCTCTACTCTCGATATCAATACCAACAATTTCCTGTGCCTTAAGAATCGTTCCAATTCCCCAGGCTTGACCCTCGCGCTCCCTTTCTGGAAGACGTGCAAATTCGGCCATTGTCTTTTGCATTGTTTTGCGGGCTTTAGCTACCTTGGCTGAAAATATCTCGGGAAGACCGAAGAAAACCATCCAAGCACTATCATTAAAGTCCAACATGTGTTGTACAATATCTGGATTGAGCTTATGGAGAGCTTTGTCGAACATGGAAAAGGTTGCAGCTTCCACAAGGGTAGATCGACAAAGAGCTTTCAATGAGACCCGGCGAGTGAGACCATTCCTGCTCAAGGTACAGAAGTCCATCTTTGGTGGTTGGAGGGAGTCTTTGAGTGAGACGATGAATTTCTCCGACATTTCGGTCATGTTCACACCAGGAAGTAATTGCGCGATGTAGACTTCCTCAATGAGCTTGACAAGAGATAACTGCTTTGGGTTGACTGGATTCTTGTGCATATAGCATTTGTCTCCCGGAATGGGTACATGCCATGCCAACTTCAATGCTTTGCCAGTGAAGCCAAAGTTGGAAAGAATTTGAGACAAGTGACCATCCCAACTCAGAGTGGCTACATTTCTGTAGACTTCTGCAACATCCTTAGGTCCTGTGACAATATAGAATAATTGCGAAGCCACCTGAAGTGCGAAAGGCTCGTGAGTTCTGCCAGTGTAATCTCTGAGGCGCCATTATAAGTATGATATTTCAGAAGGAATGAATACATGAAGAGGAGTGAGAAGAGGAAAATGAAAAGGTCAACGTACAAGCCACGCTCGATCAAGCTATCAGAATTCTGGAAGAAACTAAGACTGTGTCCTAGAACTAGATAGTGTAAGTAGAAGTTGAAGTAAACTATTAGAGGATCGCCTACTTGGGATCCAATATGGAAGTTCGACTGGGTCTTGTGGTCTAAGGTATGGCCGAATGGTGAATCTCCACAAACGCCATGAGAGAAGCCAAGTGCCGAATAGTGCTGCTGCGAGGAAGTGCTGTGAATACTCGCTTGTGGATACAAATCTCCAAGCTGCGCCGAGAAACATTGTGAGATAGTCTACTCTCTGAAAAGCTATGTGGACTTGAGGATATCTGGAGCAAAGACAATATGCGTGTGAGAACGAAAGAAGTGCTTGATGATCTCTTCAATTGGAGATCTAAGAGGATCGACATAAGTAGATATACTTTCTCACTTTTGCCTCCTCCACTGTTGAACATGATAGATTTAGCCCCCAAGACAGAACTTCGCCGATACTAGTCGCATGGTGCTGATTGTGCTATGGGGTTCCCGTTCAAATTTCCAGATGCGCGACCCCCAGATTGGTCCATCACCTAGGCGTCAATTGATGTTGAGATTCTGCCTTGAGACTCAATCACAAATCACTATCACGAACTATCATGATATGCGATATTACCCAAATGGGACATTTCCCGACGGTTGATACTTTTACAAGATCAAGGTTGTCTGCAGGGACCACCTCTTCACATCAAATTTATATTGGAAGCTAAAATCTGCGCACTAAATTTTAGTATCACATCAGGTGACAGGGGTTCTAAAAATGCCCCCCTTGTCGAATTCTGTGTCCACAGTGCATGATTCTAGTCCCGTAGATAACTTGCGTATCAAAATGTACCAAGCTGGATATGCATCGTTTACCCTCAGGCTTCAGCATAACTTCGCCTCTTGTGCTGAGATCAACTAGAAGCGATACTATCTCCAGTTAGTCAAGCCTTACTCGAGTATACATTTTGGAGAGTAATCATGATATCCAGCAAAATGCCTCCGCTGAGCAAACAGTGAAGGCTATTTGTCACACCTGCCATGCCATGTAATTTCTTTTCGACCAAGAATGGAGAATGGTGGGTAGGGGGTTGATAAAATTCATGAGGTCTAAGTTGCTGAAGTTCTACGTCTAGCTTCGGTTTCATATACAAAAAGCATTTTACGCCACCAGACAAAAGATTGAAGACTTCAAGTGCTTCACAATCATCTACCGACCATGACATTGAATCACGACGAAGCTCTGTCCAGCAAGGACACTATCTCTATCGATAAAGATATGGGCGCTGTGGCCATTACGGATGTTTCAAGCCCCGCAAGCCTTCAAACATTCGAGACCGATGAGCTCTTTCTTCACTCATGGCGTCTGGCGGCTGTCATCGGGTCTTTATGCTTGGGAATCTTTCTTCTAGCATTGGATATGAATATTATCGCTGTTGCGATTCCCAGAATCACATCCGATTTTCATGCATTGAATGATGTGGCCTGGTATGGTTCAGCATATCTTCTTACCGTTACGGCATTCCAGCCTTTGTTTGGTAACCTGTACAAATACTTTGACCCTAAGATCGTTTATATGGGATCAATAGCTTTATTTGAATGTAAGTCTCTTCACTTTACGAAACAATTTAGTTGTATCTGACATGACATAGTGGGTTCTATATTATGTGCGGCAGCCCCTTCCTCCAGTGTTCTCATCGGAGGCCGATCTGTTCTTGGTTTCGGAGCAGCTGGAATCTATCAGGGAAGTTTAGCCATTGTCAACTTCGTGGTAGAACTCGAAAAGAGACCTATGTACCAAGGCATAGTCATCAGCTCTTTTGCTATTAGCGTGTGTATTGGTCCTGTGCTTGGTGGTGTGTTCACCGATAAAGCCTCCTGGAGATGGTGCTTCTGGATGTAATGGATTCTTTCCTGCTTGAAATTCAACATAAACTGACAAAAATATAGTAATGTACCTATGGGCGCTGTTGTACTTGTCTTCATCATACTATTCTTTCGAATCAAAGGTGTACGAAACTCGAACCGTGCCTTGAATCTTTCAACAAAATTGAGACGTATGGATATTGGCGGAGTCCTGCTATTTCTCGGAGCCATATATTGTCTTCTTCTAGCATTACAATGGGGCGGACAGACTGCGCCTTGGGAATCATCTAAAGTCATTGGATTATTCGTTGGCTTTGGCCTACTCATAATATCATTCGGTATCCTACAATGGAAACAAGGCGAAAATGCCACCATCCCCTTGCGAATTCTACGACAAAGATCAATTCTAATGGGCAGCATATTTCTCATGACATTCGGCATGATGAGTTTTGTCTATGCTTATTATCTACCCATTTACTTCCAATCCATTCAAGGCGTGACGGCAATCCAAAGTGGTACCAGATTCATTGCGATAGTCCTTCCTCAAATCATTGGCCTGTCACTTACTGGAGTTATGGTTACAAAGTGGGGATATTACGTCCCCTATATGATTCTTGGAACGATTATAGCAATGGTCGGTGCCGGTCTTCTTACTACCATTGATACCAACACCTCCACGGCCAAGTGGGCTGCATATATGGTAATTAATGGATGGGGAACTGGAATGGCACAACAGCTTCCATATACCGCACTACAAATTGTGTTGAGTGAAGAAGACGCTCCTACCGGAAATGCCATTGCGGTATTCATGTATCAGATTGGTTCTTCTGTCTCTGTCTCCATCGCACAATCTCTCTTTTTGTCAAGGTTACAGAAAAGTGTACCAGCTTACACCACTGCTGTATCAGCAGAAACGGTTATTAAAGTTGGCGCCGGTGGCTTAAAGGATCTAGCTGGTGGTTCGGAAATTGTATTAACTGCCTTGAGAGAAGCATACACCGTTGCTATTAGAGATGCAATGTATTATGCTTTGGCTGCGGCATGTTTGTCTTTACCATTTGCTTGCGGAATGCAATGGTTCAACCTCAAAAAGGTTGCAGAGGAGAGAAGAAGAGAGAAAGGCGAGGGGAAGTCGGTTGGGCTAGAAAGTTCAGTCATGATGGACAGTGCAATTGGATCTGAGAAAGTTTGAATTGTATGAATAGCCAGATATAGAATAGAATAATGTAATATATTGATTCTACTATTCCCTTCCTTGAGCGAAACTTCAGCTAGAAACATTCATTTTGCCTTGACCAATTTCACCAGATGAATTCCAAAATCATGAGCAAAGGTTCCTATTTCAATCTATGTGTTGCTCTAAAGTGATGTAGTTGATATGTAGTTTCATAATTCGTAATTTCTGATGCGCCATCCGAAATGCAAATCTGACCTTCCAGTTCCTATGACCCATCACTATCCAGCCCACCTAGCCCACAAAGAATCAGAATGTAACCAAAACCCTATCCCAAACCCAAACCCAAACCGTAGCCATGACCGTAAGTGTATCTCATATTCCCTTCTGCCCCCACCAACGCCAAGCCATCGTCAAGACCTCCTAGTTCTAAACTCATAAAACTACATATGTGGTTGGTCGTCTTCGGGAATACCAAATTCCCGTCTGATACTTGTATTAGCTTTAAATGTCTATGATAACTTTCATCGCCATAATGCATACCAAAACACAAAGAATAGTATCTAAGAGACTCCAGTTAGTCAAAAATTCTATCACTAGACATATAAAAAATCACAAACTCACAATCTAACCAGTCCAAACTTTCAACAGCAAACGCCGCCTTTGCAGTTATTCCGAGAATAATTAAAACGATGTACGATATCTGAATGGGAGAATTATGTGTGGCTTTGGAGCTAGCAGAGTATTGTGAAGTAGCAGTTGAGTGTTGAAGTTGAGTGAGACGCTCATCGGCGAGGAGAGCGGGGAAGTGCATTTTGGAGTATGATTACGTGCGTATGGATGGGGTTCAGGAAAGAATACCCTTTTCAGATAATATGATTGCAAAGCACTATTTAAGCATTTGATCTATTGTTATATGCCTCTGGCTTTTTTAAGGTTTCCTCAGAGTTAGAAAGGGCGTTTCGAATAGAAGCTTAGCGTGGCGTTCTGGTGATATCATGTAGATACCTAGTCACAAACAGGTACAAGTGCAGCCTACCTAGTTGGTATCAGATCCGATCATCTTTGCACACGGCTGAGCACGGATCGAGAGAATTGGCGTATGGATGGTAAATTTAGCGAAGCCACATATGTGGGCGGGGGCGGGTAGCCTAGCATCCATGGATAACTGAGGGGACGGAGTAGTGGGTAGCAGATATAGTACCGAGGCTCATTTGAATCATTTTACTAATACCTGAAAAGTTAGGTTTTGTATAATTCAAAAAGAATTTCTAAAATTTATATGATGTATATATAGAAATCTTAGAAAGAAAATTGTATTATATAGAATTATATAATAAATAATAATTTTATAAACAAAAATTATATTATTAGAAAGCTTTTATTATTAATATTATTAATATAATTTTAGAATTTATTTCAGAATTTTCTATAAGAAATATACTAATATTCAAATTCTAATATATAATCTTTTTTAAATAGTTTTCTTTTTATATATAAATCAATTACTAATAAATAAGAGCATTTCAATAAGAATTCTTTATCTCGTTTATTTCAAATTAAGAATTAGTTTCTATAATATAGTTTATTAATGCGTATATTATATTAGTATGTATACTACTTTTATTTCAATTTATACTTTTAAATCCATATTATTTAATAACAATTAAATTAATTAATTAAAATTATTTAGAATTTAACAATTTAGAATTTATTATATTATTTTGATAGGTTTTTATATTATAATTTGTCTTTCTATATTTATTATAATATTAAATAAAAAATATTTATTATATTAAATTTAAATATCAATCTTTTATTAAAATAATATATTAAAAACTTCTTATTTAGTAAATACTTTTCCTTAATATAATTAGATTTTTATATATATTAACATTTACTTAATATTTTATTTACTATTTAAAATATATAAATCTCTATATTTAAAAATATATTTTTATAAACTAATTGTTTTATATCTTTAGTTAAAATTAATATAATTTTAAATATAAATATAAGTAAGCTTAATTAATAACAAATTATTTGAGATTTAATTAATATTAATTAAAAAAGAATTTCAATTGAATTATAAAGGGTTTAAGAGATTTATTAATTTAGATTGAAAAAAGAAAAAGTAGATATACGAATTCAAATATCTAATTTTGAGAATATAGTTTTAGAATTAAATAGAATTAAATTTATTTTTTAAAATCTTAATTTTATATTCTAAAAAATAATTGATTTTTTATATATAGTTTTAAAAGCTATAAAGAATTCAATCTTTAAAATATAATTAATATATATCTTAATAAATTTAATAATTTGATTATTATATAAATATTTTAGATTATTAAAATAATTAATATTAAATAGTTAAATTAAATAATTTGAATATAATAATAAATAAAAATATATATATTATTTTTTTTATAATATATTTAAAAAACTATTAATTTATAGTTTTCATATTTATTTAGTATTAATATTCAATATTTGCTTTTTTCGATTTTTAATATATTTATTAAAATAT